AGATCATTAGCACTACTCTATCCACGATTGGTTTTTCTCTGGAGGGTGGGGCAGCATCTGAGGTAGTCATAGAATCTGAACCTGGGTTTAGACTGCTTTGATCCAGTTGAACTTTAGCAAAACTATTGTCTTCATCTAAGCCTTCAACTTGTATGTTAGATCCAGTTCCAACCAGGTTATTTAAGGAGGTATTCCCTTTGATCTCCTCCTCCATTCTAGATGTGATTAATCTATCTCTGGTACAGGGATATGTACCTAAAGCTTTTAAGGTTGCTGGAATTAAACCTCTGTTGGCTCCTGGCAAGATCTATTTACAGGAATTTGTGAATTCACAACCTCGCCACAATTCATGTTGCTTGCAAGGTAGCCATGTGTGTGCTGTCGGACTCAACCTTGCTTCATTGCTCTTCAGGCTGCCTTTGTTTCTGAAAGGGGTCCAGATTATCTGATGGGTTTTTATTCTCCCTGAAGGCTCCATCTCTTTCAGAACCAAGCACCATCCAAACATCGTCATCTGAATCGCAGTTCTCCTAATGTTTCCACAGGCTAATATCCAGAACTTTAGCGGTGCCGTTTTTGCTCCATTATATTATATATAAATGATGTCTTTTGAGCTGAATAAGGAGAAGCTGCTCGGCCCATTTAAGAGGAGATCTGTCCACTTTAGTCTTGGCTCAGGCTCTGTAATCTGAGGCGGGAACCTGAGCTGAAGCTATGGATTATTGATGGCTGTCGACCTTAGCAGGAGCATGACTGAAACCAGAAAGGAGAATTCAGTCCAGCTGAATCCACCTGTGTGGGTTTGGTGGCGGTGATGGAGGTGGAGGGGGGTCAGCTGTGGGACTGCAGGGAGACAGTCATCAGGAACCTCTGTTCCAGAGCCGACCTCGCCTCCCCGCTGGGCCAACTGAGCTGATCAAAATTTGATGAAGGATCTTAGTAACCTGAGATGAGCCTCCGTGTACGGGGGTTCTGCTGGTTCTGTGTGACAGCAGTCGGGTCACCAACGCGCACATCAGAGGCATCTAAACTGAAGCCTTTCAGTGGTTTGGAGCTTTGCACTGTCTCCTCTGGTGAATAGAAACGCATTTCTGGATTGACTATAGCAGCCAGACAGATCAGCGCACAGACGACTGAACACTGATCCTCTGCTTTGTTACGGAGGCGGGGGTGGGGGGTCTCTGCTTTCCCAGGGTGCTGCTCGTTCTCCCCACAGCCCTCAGTGCAGCAGGTCCACCCGATCAGCCGCCAGGATCTAAGAATGCTCCACCAGCAGGTCAGACACATCTTCACCCCCTGACATTTTAAACCTTTTCCTCTCTCTCTTTAACCTGTTAGATTAAACTGGTTAAACTGGTTAGAATGGGTAGACTGCAGGGTCCCAGTTTCTAACTTATTTATCAAATAAGGAGTCAGATTAATGTGTGAAATGATGGATGGAATTATCCGTGCAAACAGCATGACTGAAGCCTTTGCTCAGTGTAGTTATTTACAGCTGTGCTAAAATGTCTGTTATCGTATTTAATCAGAACCCGTATTTTAATCTGACCTAGATTAAAATATGACTCAGATTAAAATTCACCAAGTGTTCAGGGTTTAGTCTCTCCTCATGGTTTCTACCTTAGCCTCTTTGGATCTTTGTTTTGGATTAATAAGATATCCCAGCCCCCAACTGTGTCCAAGTTTATTCCTTCATTCACTTCATTCGATGCCCGGTACCACGGACGTGGCCCAGCCCTACAGCATAATGCTGCCATCACCGTGTTTGACAGCATTGTGAGCAACCAGCTCAATCCTGTCATGATCTGAACGGATCAACGTAGACCACCAAGGATTAGAAGGGTCCGACCAGGAGATGGTGCTTCTCTTTAGATCTTAATGTCCACAAATCAGGACAGAAAGAATATTTTTGCACAAATATTGATATTTAGAAAGGAATTTTTGGGGACCAGCCAAGAACTTACCGAAGACCAGCCAAGGACCAGCTAAGAACATACCAAGGACCAGCCAAGGACCAGCAAAGAACATACCAAGGACCAGCCAAGGACCAGCTAAGAACATACCAAGGACCAGCCA